GTGTGTTCTTCCTCGCGAGAAAGCTGAGAAAATCCACAAAAGGTGGTATAAACCTAATCTGCGTAATTCTTGACTATGTGAGCGTCAAAGAGAAGTGTTTGCGATTGATTTTCTGGCTCCAATCCCTTTTTCAAGTGAATCTAGTGTCTATGCTCTATTGCCATAACTATGTTCAGAAACATCTCCTGCATGCTGGCGAGTAAGTCCACCCTTGTTGCTTTTGCCGGTGTAGCTTGCAAAAGCCTTCATTTCCTGCCTGTTTTCAATTTTACGCGAATGTGATCTATGAATGCTTTGCTGGAGAAGCCTTCAAGAAACATCTTTTAGGTAGGGATTGAAGAAGTCCTCCAGGTTTGACAATGAATTAGGGTGTGAGGAGTTCAAGGAATATTCAAGCCGACCCGCTTGCGCAGCGACCGCATGAACAGCTTCGTTTCGCAAGTCCGTGCCAGTATGTCCCTATGTCCATGAAATTTCCGTATTGATTCCACAGTCATGCATTCAAGCCATTTCTAATGAAAAAACAAACACAGCCTGCCTGTCCCTCATCAGAAAAGGTTCTGTTACACTTAGTCGGAGCCGAACTACGAAGAGTTGCGTCCCTTCTTCTACGAAAATGTGACAGAGTATGTAAACATATTAGTTGTGTCATATATTACCAGTATTCTATCATCTATAAAAGGGTGATGATGGGGTACATGAAGACGACCTGTATAGAGTGAAGTAGCATCGGAACCGTTACAGCTGATATTTGCTGCAACGGTACGAATAGAAGTAGACTCTAATAAATCAACAAAGTGGCTAACACAATAATCTTAGACAAGGAAATGGGTTATTATAAATTTAGAACCCACCATAAACTTAAGTTTGAACCTGTTAATTAAAAACATCTGTTCAAACTACACAACCAAGCAAATGCGCTTTTCTTTGGCGTTGTAGATGACGAAAATTTTCATAACTTTTTTCCCAAATGAATAAATGGCTGTATATTGTCTTTCATTATCTGCTTCTGTTGTTCTTTCTCTCTTTTTCGTCATATTTTACCTTCATAATTTAAAGCCTCGTGCGGAACGAATATTTTCTCTTTTTTTACTGCCAAGCTTACGACGACTTTCGCGTTCTCACCTTCACTATAAAGAGAATAAATGGCCTGAAATGAAGCGTGGTCAAGCAAACTTGTATTTATTTCGCTATATGCAGTCATTTATATATCAGTGTTTGTTATAAAAATTTTGTGCACACAGAGATAACAAGCTAGATAAACGTTATGCAATGTTGTCGGAAGTACTGTGTTACCAGAGGCTCGAAACTTTTATAAAGTTCTCCATAAAACCAAGGAATTTCACTGAGCGCATATCCCGTTACGATCAGTTCCTCCGCTGGTGGGGGATAGGTGCTCTCTGCTCATCGAAGAGTGCGCCGAAAAACTGCTTACCGGCTGGCCACCGTTCAGGCACGTACAATTCCCACACGAGCCCAGGTGTGCGTAGTCATGCCGTCCGACGTTGCGGGGTGATGGACGAGACGACCTTAAAGGGGCCTTGAAACACTATTTCAAGTAACCATGAAATGAACCAATGCACAGGAAATACCTGTCTTTTCGTGCATAGCATCAATTGTTATCGCAGCTTAATAAAAACTGCGGTCTTTAGAATTACGTATCCATGCCTTTTTTACTATGAAGAAACAGACCTCCGAATATTCACGTGTAGGTATAGCGCCTCATTTATGCGTACTAGTTGTGTTTTCATCGACAATGTGCTGAAGTATAAATGAAGAAACCAGATCAAGACCTGTGGGCGTTGCGGTAGTGGCGTGGTATCTGAAACGTTTTGGTTGACGGACAAACGAACAGACATACAGTATTTCTGCGTTAAATTATCCGCAGTAAAACTATTGTCTTCAAAAAAAACACTAACTGTCTCTCCGTCTTTTTTTCTTTACACGTGTGTGGTTCACACTAAACACCATCGTATGTACCTGGAACCATGTAACAACAAAAAGACGCTGAATACTTTTAATTCTTTTATTTTTAATAAAGGCCACTAACCAAAAAGTCATGCGCCTGCGGGTTCTTTGCTGAAAACTTTGTGTTGTTTTTTTGATAGATTGATATGATTGATATGTGGGGTTTAACGTCCCAAGACCACCATTTGATCATGAGAGATGCCGTAGTAGAGAGCTCCAGAAATTTCGACCACCTGGGGTTCTTTACGTGCACCCAAATCTGAGCCCATGAGCCATCAATGTTTCCGCCTCCATCGGAAATGCAGCCTCCGCAGCCGGGATTCGATCCCGCAACCTGTGGGTCAGCAGCCGAGTACCTTAGCCACTAGACCACCGTGGTGGCGCTTGTGTTGTTTTCTTTCATGCTCATGCAGAGCACTTGAGAGTCACTATTTAAGTCACTTTACTGTTACTTGCTGAAGTTTTTTTGCTGATAATAAATAAGTCCTAATGAGTAAGAGGACGTGGCGCAGAGCGAATGCTGTAGCGCAAAAAAGGCAAAATATTCGGAGCGATACATGAACACAATCATACAAATTTAGAAAAAATCCATGCATCTTCACGAAGTCCACCATGACGAGTAGTTGAAGCTAGGTTCTAAGGCCCAGAATATCTACGTTGAAGTCGCCTACTATAATAAATTGTTTGTGCTTGTATGTGTTTTGTATAAATCTGTGACAATTATGATTGATATCAGTGTATTGTTAAACCATTCTTTTTTGTCTCACGTATGTTACCTGAGCGTCACCACGTATCATAATAAGAATGACATAGAGTGACATAAAGGGACAAAAAGAGTTGATGACAAAGATAAGTCGCAAGTTTATAAGGTCTACGTTGGAATCGTCAACTAATAGGAAGAATTTGCAGTTACAGGTGTTTTACATTGTTCCGTCGCAATCGGGATTCATATTGGTTTATTGGTAAACCTTTTTTTTGTGTGTGTCTCATATATGCATCGACTATATAGCCTTGCACACGCGCGCCATACGAATAGACAGGCCTCGCCCTGAAGGTTCTTCAGCCCTACAGAAACAAAAAAAAGAAGAAAACAGAGTATGTGTGACACTTTTTGGGTATAGTGCTGACTTGCCACGTATGCCGATCTATTAGGGTGACACGCGACTCTTGGAAGAAACAATATATTGATCCCTAAAGAAAATTGAAGTGCGTATTTTAAGAGAGCAATATAGGTGGCAAAGGAGGACTCTCAAAAACGGTCAAAGGTCTCTATTTTTTTTCTTGGAATGTAGAGGAGGAGAAAAACGACCAGTCTCAATTTTCTTAGCTGCATTAGGGCAGAAAAAAGAAGTAGTGGAAATACCGCATATACTGATGCCAGTGCTGTTATCAGGATGTGCAAGCTTGAAGTAACGAAAACACCTTTTATTACCTTTACCAACACTTTTTCATTCTTGCGGTTCGTGTTGTAGGCTCATGTGCTCAGATTCGGGTGCACATTAAAGAACCTCAGGCGGTCGAATTTTGCGGGGCCCTCCACTACGACGTCTCTCATAATCATATGGTGGTTTTGGGACGTTAAACCCTACATATCAATCATCAATCAGCAGTTCGTAAACCCAAATCATACACGTCTTGCACGTGTTTGACTCTAGCAGAGCTCGCTGTCATCGTTTTTATGACAGAACTGGAGATTTCTGAACACTATAGTAGCCGTCAGCCTGGCAACGATCCGTAGAACCGGCAACGATAGCAACGAGACAAGCGGAAATCGTGAGTAAAAACCTGCCTTATTTTGACGTTCACTTGTTTCTACCTGATTTATTTATTTACAACCTCGGCCAAGTAGCTGTCAGCCACTCCTAAAGAAATGTTTTCCTATCCACGGAAAGTCATATTTCACAGATAGTTTATGGGCTTTGATAGACGAAGTATTTGGATGATCGTCAACGACTACGAAGAGTTGGTTCGCAGCTGGCTGGTTAGACACCATGCAAACATTTCCTCGTAATCCACGTTTTGCATAAATACTCCAGAGTAATCTTAGCTACCTGGCTTCTCGACATGAAAATGTATTACCCAATATTTTTTTCCGTTTTAACCCCCCTCCCCTTAAAATGTAGTTGTCGAGAAGACTGACGCACTCGAGGTCATCAGCTCACCACTATGTATTGCACTGGTGGCAAATAATCTTCGAAAGAAGAAAAGCTGTTTATAAAATCAGGGCGTGGTTCTTGTGCATTCACATATACGCCTCGTATATGGAAACCAACTTTTGCTTCTGATTGTCATCCTGCCCCCGACCCTGATCACCTAGTAGCTTTTGGCAAATCACTGGCTTTTTACTTTGCTTGACTCTGGCCAATCGAAGGTGGGGCCTTCACATGATGTAACATCAGAGGTGTTGACAACATTAAATTTTTAGCGATTGATTTGTGACCTGATAATGACATCTGAGATTACGTGGCTTGTGGACTGTTGTTTACTGTCACAGAAGCTCCTCTTGGCGTTTTATAAGGTATCTGGGGTCTCCGCTATGACAAGGGGAAGGTCATAACTTATTCAATGTCGGGTTAAAATTCAAAACAGCTCGACCTTCACCAATCAGCTGCGCATTATACGTGACTGACAACTCTCCCAATTAAAATGAGCCATGTGGAGCCTTCAGCATGATAAGAGGAAGGTCATATATTATTCAATGTCGGGTTGAAATTAAAAACACCACGACGTCCGCCAATCACTTGCGCCTTATACATGACTGACAACTCTCCTTAATTAGAAGATTTTCTTTTCTTTTACAATAGTATGTTACGTGATACAGAGAGAAAATGGCCTTGTTAGGCAGCGCGTACTCGCACCAGCTTTTAATGTCGGATAAAAGGAAAGAAGGGGTGACGCATGTGTTCCGCAATCACTGCGACAGTGAACACGATCCCCTTTCTGGATGTCGACTCCTTTTCCAATGTGCATTTTTTTGTTCGAGAAGACCACCGCAAAAAGGTCCTGATTTTTCCTTGGTGGTGTTACTTGAAAGTATCACAGCAGCGAGCAGGTAAGATTGCAAACAGCCGTCTACCCAACCAGATTTCTCGGCCTTAAATCTGCATGACGCTAACTGCATGTCTAGCAACTGGCTAATTGACGCGTGCGGGGAGTCATAGAGCTTTCCTCACTTCGATTTGAGCTTAATGAAGACTTGGGGCGATTTCCTTTTTTCCTGTGCCATTGAGACAAGCCATCATCACGCGATCGCGAGAACACGTAATGGATGCACGAGTGTGGGCTGCAATGGTTTTTGATGAAGAGTGGCGGTGGCGAAAGACTTCAAATCCTCTCGGTGTAGCACATTTCGCCATAGCGAGGCGAGGTGCTGCTAACACGGGCAATAGAGGTGTGCCGTTTAAACCTCATGCTCTTCTAAACTTCACAAAAGTGCAGCCAATTACATGGGCATTAGGCCGGCAGCAAGCAAGTAAACAACGTCGAGCTTAATGAAACCTAATCTGTCATGTACGCTAATGCTATTCGTTATTTACTGAGTGATCCCCTTTTACGGAGAAGATTCTTATCTTGACTACCTTTTCGATCGATCAGAAAGTTGATTTTGCTAAACATGTTTCTTCGTGCAATCTGCAATTAGAGTAGAAGAGGGCACAGTGAAAGGTGCTGCAACAGCAGCTGTGTCTGCCAAGCACTCGGGCAGGTAGTTACACATTTTGCTACTTGATGCACAGTTATTTACAAAGATGTCAACAATGCATAAAAATGTTAGTCACCTTGTTCTCGTTTTGATAAGAACATTTTAAAAATAATGCAACCAACCCTTCCGCCGTTCGATAGCCCAGATATGGTGAATACAATCGCCGGCGTGCATGGATCGCATTAATTTACTATGAACAGTCGCTCATCTTTACAACGTACTCATAGTAGAGTACCAAGTACTCAAAATCGTTAATTTTTTTTCTAAACACACCACCGTCCGCTGCGATGCTCTAGCGGTTATGGTGCACGGTTGGTTGCCCGAATACCGCGGTTTCGATCCTGGCTGCGGCGGTCGCATTCGATGGCGGCAAAATGCTGGTTACCCGTGTATTGCGTGATGTCAGTGCACGCTAAAACGCATCGGATGGTCGTAATTTTAGCAGCCTTTCACTGCGACGCACATACTAACCAAACCGTAGTTTCGGTACGCAAACTCAAGCGGTAAAATTGCTCCAATGCAATGCATTCTACCACTTTATCGCGACCGTCATAAACACCTTCGCGCTTGAGACATTCAATTAAATTGGCTTTAAGACAAAACGCGAAGTCAACGTGTGACTCGTTCCTCTTTTTAGCATACCGGAACCTTTGCCTGAAAGCCTCGGGTGATAACATCTCAAGAGCACTTCTTTAACCTCTTCATAGCTCTCAAACGCTTCCCTCGACAAGCACGTTATCACGTCGGACACTTCGCCGGGAAGAAGAGCTAACAGGTTCCGCGCCCAAAGAGGCCGCTCCAAGGTATTTCGCTCACAGACGTGTTCAAACTTGACGAGATACTTCGCCATGTCCTCGCCTACTACGAACGATGACAGTTGGTCCCGAATTCTAAAACCACTGACCTGTACTGTCGTAGAAGCTACGCTAGGCGCCTGCGAACACTGTAACATTACCAATTCTATTCGTTTCAACTCAAGGCGCTCCTGTTTCTCGGCCTCTTCAAGCTCGTGACGTTCGCGCCTTTCAGCTTCTTCACGTTCGCGACGCCTTTCAGCTTCTTCGCGTACGCGAACTTCTCGCCTTTCAGCCTCCTCGCGGCGTGCTTTGATATCCACCCAGGCCTCATCGACTTCCTCAGTCGTCCCTCCTGCATCCCTCATGATCTCAAGTATCGCTTGCTTTCGTTTCACACGGTTCAAAATAAGGCCAAGTTCCTCACAAATTTCGATGAGTTCCTTCACTTTAAGGTTCTCCATCATTCACACTAGCCTCTTGCAGTTTGCCCCAGTTAAAAATCTTCTTGCCGTACCCACTATAAGTCTACTAGCAAGACGCGCAAGCATTTTTTAACACTGCCGTGTATACACCCTCTGCATTAACTTAGGTTTCAAAGCGCTTCGACTTTGCTTGAAACGATCAAAGTTCACTCACCAATGCTTCACACAGACCTTCTATAAACTGATATAACCTGTGCTAGAGTAGTCTGGTAAACTGAGGGGAAAACATCAGGCACTCATCGCATCGATGTCGCTGACGCCGGCCGTTCCCGCAGCTGCCAACCACTGTTACGAAGGCGAGACGCCTACACGGTCCCGAAGGCGCCACTGCTCCGAACTCCGCCGCCAAGGTCACCAGCTGTTTGGTAGTGCAGGTTTATCAGCTCGCGACTGCTTCTGCGCAGAGCTGATAGACGAGCGAACGAGACGACGGTGAGTTAAGGCAAGTTTTTATCCACAGCAGAGAAATAGACGTGTTACAAATTCGGCAATGGGACCGACAGTTTAGGGACTCGTACAGTCAAGATGTCTTCTCTCGCACGCTGTTACGAAGTGCACCACCGACGAGGTTACGATGGGTGCCATGAAACTCGCCGCTGCCAAGGCCACTGGCCACGCCTACAGCGAAAGGGCTCGAAGCATCGAGAGGCTTCACTGACGCATAGGTCTACTGCCGGCGACGCACCGCAGGGCCTTTTTCATAGGCACCGGGTGGATCTTTTGAGTCACCAACGGCCAACCAGAAGCGCCGATGGCCGTGATGTCAGAATCCTCCAATGGGGCTTGCCGCTGGGCCGCGTCGTGCTCATCAAATCGGGAGCCGCTGCGCGTGGTTCCACCAAAGAACGAGTGACACCGCCAGGCATTGCGTAAGACTCGTCAGAATGGAAGGCGCCGATTGCTTCAACGGGCTCGTGGGCTGAGGGAGCTCGCTGTGCATTGTGTGACAGACCGGCGCCGCCACTTTATGACGTCGTTGACTTGATCGCGTCAGGCAGGTTCGACCGCTGGCCTTGATACAGATTACCTTTGCAGAGGCATTGACGTTCGGTGTGGACTCGCAGGCGCAACAGGACCTCGCCGACGCTTCCGTGGGGCCGCTTCTTCCATCGCGGCAAGGCAACTTCGCAGAGCGAGCGTCTTGTTTTAGCGTGTCAAGCTGACGGCCTGAGTTTCCCGCACTTACTGCAGAACGCGTTGCGTGCGTGTTGCACACGCTTCTGTTTCGGTGAAACACAGTGACTCCACTGCGACCTCTCCCGTGCCTCTCCTCAAGTTTTCCAGAACTCGCCTGCAGGGCCAGGCGCGGCGTCGTCGTCGCTCCGCAAACTTGAGCTTCGGTTCCCTATACCGTTAGGTGGTCTTCAGAGCTTCGCCAATTCAGTGCGTTTTTATCACCAGTAGCGCCCTGGCACGACGAGCTCGCGTTGAGCGTGCTAAGTTCCCGCCTCCTTTTCCCATGCCTGTCGCGTTTCGATGAGTGCAGCCTCCACGGACCATGGTCTCTCCTGCGCACGCGCTTATCAGGCTTGTGATTCAGGAGAGGACGAAGGCAAGAAGTTCACTCCGCTCACTGCCGCGGCCGCGTTTACGAAAGGCACACGCTACTCGCACACCAAAAGTAAGGATTGTGACTGTTGTTCGCGCTTGTCTTGTATTTACTTGTGTGTTCGTTTCGTGCGTCTTCCTTCTAAAGACGATAGTCTTTCTTGGGGTACTAAGACGGAAAAATTTTGGTCTGTCTGTCTGTCTGTCTGTCTGTCTGTCTGTCTGTCTGTCTGTATTTTTGTCTCTTTTTCTGCCATACTGATACCCCCAACGGCTCCGAACGATATCTCAAACGGCTACCCCACCCGCAGCCCCCACCAATGTTGTTCAAGTCTAAGCATTCATACTTGTGTGATTTTCAATTAAAAAGCAATTGTTGCATATACCTCAGACTTCATAACAACACGCGAATATTCTTTACGTGTGTCTTTTTGTGTGTGTGTCAATATTCTGTATGTGGAAGACATATCTAAGGATGGTAGGGTTTATAACGCTGCGCTGACAATGCAACGCTATGCTCCAAAAAGGCAAGTGTTTCAACGCATTACTAAGACGACACGGTGGTGGCACCTGCCCGTCCCTTTCTTTGCGTTCTACATCTAATCGCCTCCGGGACAGACGCACACGCCTTCCTTCGTATTCGAAGATAACTGCCAGATAGCACTTGTGTCTAACGTGCCCCGAAGCGCTCGTTCGCCTTCGCTACGCGGATCCAGACACTAAAACGCAGCGCCTCCAGAATACAATTCACCGATTGCCTCTCCCATAACACCAAGTAAACGTTTTGTTCACTCTTTTCAGACGCAAGACTATCGTATTTCGAAGACATTTGCAGTGAAACATGCAGATACGGGGCAAACTTTTTTTTATGAACAGCACTCTTCAGGTGTCGAGCTGTGATGGTTCTTATTTCGAGCTCGGCCTGTGTATGCTTACTCCGAGCGTGTTTTCTGCTTGAGGGGCAAGCTGCAAGTTTCGAGCAGCCAGTCGTTCTTTGTGTGACTTTGCACTTTGTTGCTGTAGCATTCATTCTTTTGCCTTCAAAACATTGCACAATAAACGATAGTGCCTCGGTGAAGAGACATTTCTCTTTAATTCTATACCACCTCCTATAAAGAGGGATCAGCCACGTTTTTTTTCTTTGTACAGTGAACCCTTTCTTGCCCCGCCTACCCCCAGGACCACATCATGAAGGAAGATCTTGAAGTTGTGGCCAGGAAAGAACTCGGAGAGACTCTCGAAGTAATTAAAGAAAGCATCGACAAGTTTAGAAAACTACTTCAAGGTACGTTGCTTTATCAACGTTACCGATGGCACCACATGAAGACAACAATTGGTTAAACCTCGGTGCAAACTACAGACAGAATCAAGAGAATCCTTCCGTCTTCTCCCCAAAGTCAGCAGTAGGGAGGAGAAAAAGAACATATTTATAGCCACGCACACAAAAGAGACACATTACTTTATTTGCGTAGTTACTGTCAGAAAGCAAATATATTCTGTTAGAGACTAGGAATGCGACGCACAAGAATACTCAAAAAGGGCGACTACTGCGCAGTACGTTAAATGATTTCAGTAAAGCTGTGCATGTCTGATAAATTGAAAGACGTGGATTTCGGCGTCATGAACACCAACTTACCGAATGCAGCGTGCGGTGGATGTCCACATATCACGGATGAGAATTAAAGTTGAGTAGAAGTGATCAATTATATCTGAGTCAAGATGAAGTGAAAATAATGGAATGTGTATTAAGGTGAAGTAGCTATTAAGCACAAGGGTTATCAGGGTAAATGTGCATCAATGGTGAATTAACAATGAATCAATTGCGAATTGACAGTAAATCAATGTCGAAAAAGCTAAAGTGGTCATTGATTTTTTGCTGTTCATATATTATGAAGCAAACTGTTGTCATGAAATACAATTGGCTGGTGTTCAAAGGCTTTCAAGAAATTTTTTTTCGACTGCGATGAGATGACTGAGTGTTTTGCATCTGCTAATGTGATGTGAATAACGACAGCAGGGTGGCCTTTCATTCGAAAAGGAAGCCCCTTCAATATGAGCTTGTCAAGTATAACGTGCTTACAACCGTGTAATTTTCAAGCTACCGCCAACCCAGCGTTCTTGAAATATCGTAGTTCTCTTCTTTATTTCAGAAGAAACCGACCTGAGACCTCCACCCGATTACGTTCTTCTTATGTTCTGCGAGCCCGAAAGTACCGAGTCGACGATGCCGTGAAGTCTCTGAAAAATTTTTTTCGCCTTCGCAGCACCCATCCCGAGTACTACGATAACTTTTTACCATCAGCTGTGGATTACCAGACAATAACACGGGAGCATAAGTTGTTCCTGTTGTCCAAAGATCGAGACTCTCAAGGAAGGATCGTAGGACTGGCAAGATATGGTGAGACCTTACCTAATAACACAAGCTACAAGCGACCTACTTGTTTCTCGTACAACTACTTCTAGACAAGCAGTTACTTCCAGTTTTCTGAATATTGAGAAAATTTGGTTCAGAAAAGCAGCAACATCAACACGAACCAACGTAGGTGCGAAGCACTGGTGTTTATTCTCCCAGGGCCACTTCAATAGCGGTGAAAGTGCAACGCCATCTCATCCGCCTCTTTTATTTTCCTGTGCTGCCATCTGCCGTTTCGATAGAGTTTAGAGTGTACCAGAACCATGCCTCTAGTACACTCTAGTAGGATTGAACTTGGGCCGGCACAACCGCTGTCGCTGGAAGGAGAGCCTCCGAGATCAGATGTTTTGTGACTACTCCACCAGGGTCAAAGATGCATGTGTCTTGAACAAGGCGGATTGCTACAGAGAGTATCCTGCGCCCCTCCCAAAAACACAGCTTTTCCTTAGTCAAAGCGCCGTCTTGTTTGCTCCTCGGAAAAAAAAAACCCTAGGTGGCGTCTTATTTGGAGGGCGAGCATGCGTTCTTGCGAGCTTTCATGGGCGAACAAGCTTTCTGCTTTTCCGCTCGCATTACTGTGGCGGGCGATAACAGGCGACACCATGATGGACTACGACTTCAAGAAGCGCCGGCAGCCCACGCGCATAGGGCGACCTAAAATAATACAGATACTAAATCTATAGGCATGGTTTAAGGTATCTATAGATACATATGATAGGAACGCAAGCCTACGGTAAGGGCAAATTAACTGTCACCATATTTAACTATACTTAAATGATTCAGTTTATTTAGCAAACGTTCGCTTCACTTGGGAGTTGTTAGGATCTTGGCGACACTTGCAGGAACAGATCGAAAGCACGCGCGTCTTTCTACGTGGCCTCTGAGATTCCCATTTGCAACGCGAGAAAACACGGAGCTAATCCTTTAAGTAGACCAGGGCGCACGAACGCCCATGTACAAGCACCACTGTCAGATACCTAAGTCGAGAAGAAGATATGGTCGCCATGGAATCTACTTACATTTTCTAGAACTAAAGCCGACCAAGTCGTAGAACCAAGCCATAGAACTGTAATATCTACCAAGCCGTAGAACTTTCGTTATCTGTGACATCACTACCATCACCTGCTGCTCTGCTTTAAGGGAAACAGTTTCCGCGTTTATTAAAGACGATAATCTTTCTTGGGGACCTTCGACGCAAAAACTTCGGTGTGTCTGTTTGTCTGTACATTTGTCTGTTTGTCCACATTTAACAGTATCGGGTACTTGAGACGACCGACCCCATCCGCCGCGCCCACCTATGTTGCTCAACATTCAGCGTTCATACTTGTGCAATTGTCGATTAAAAAGCAATTATTGCGCGTGTCTGGGGCACCATAACAACACGTATATTTTCTGCATGTGCGCTTTTTTCTAGAAAAGGCATACATAAATAATTTCAAGGACCGTAGCGTTTATCACGCTGCGCTGACCATCCAACGCTTGCACGGAAAGGCGAGTTTTCCCAACGCTTTGCTAAAACGAGACGGTGGTGGCACCTACCCGTCGCCTTGCGTTCTACACCTTATCACCTCTCAGGCGGGCGCTCACACCCGTCTCAGGGCCATGCGCTTTGTTTTTGAAAAAAAACTGCCAGATGGCGGTCATGTCTCACGTGTGACGTGTTGATGCGTCGTTCGCCTAGGCTGCACGCTCAAGGTTCTCTAATGCAGCGCCTCCAGAATACAATTCACCGATTTTCTTGAGCAGAAAATCAAATAAATGTTTGTTCACTCGGTCCACCCACAAGACTATCATCTTTCGATGACATCTGCAGATTAAATGCAGATACGGGGCCAATTGTTTTTCCCTTGCAATGTTTCATTTTTTGTAATCCCCCTTTTTGTGTGATACCCCTGTTTCGGGAATGATGTAAGAATGAATAGCGCTAACAGGTATTTGCCACAGAACTTAAGAACTCCGACTACTCACAGATATGGCGTTGCCTGTAGTAATCCTGATGGATAAAAGTGCGAATTCAGAGAGAGGGACAGACACAGAACGAAATAAAAGGCGGCAAGACCAATATAAATGAAGACAAAGAGAAAAGTTTTCGCCAAGAAGGAAATACTTTAGGAGGCGGGATTTGAACCCACTATCTAAGTCCTAGCCGCTAGACCAATCACGCGCGCTATTAGCCCATGTAGTAGCCTTGTATAGACCATTTCACTGTTTATAAGCACAGACTCTTCATGAGTACCGGTTTTGTCCACCGATGTTCCTGAATAGCAGAGGTGGTCGAAAAGAGCGTTAGAAAATAGCCCGTTTCTATTCTACCCTTTTCTTCCGTCATTTGGCAAAATGTATTCAAACAAATACTGTTTTGAGCTACATAAAAACTAGAAGAGATTGCCTTGAACATTACGTACGTTCTGTTATCTGAAAAACTAATAAGAGGACTTTCCTTACCCTTGAAAAACCGTGAAAACGTCCTTTCAGTTTCGACGTTAGGAGCTGGTAAATGAGGTGACCACATGTTTTTTTCTTTTTTTTGGGAGGGGGTGGGGGGCACAACGCTTGCAATCTTGAAACCAGTCTATAACATAGGCACCAGGCGCGGGGCGAGTTTGTACTGGTGGCACCTCTGGCGGTGGTGATGGAGAACTAAAGGCATGTTTGTGCCGGAACGGGCGCAGGCTGCGGGGCCGCGGGGCTAGCTGTTACTTTCTTTTCATTGTGCTGCCACTGCTTGTGTCGGGCGCTGCCGAAATCTACGTGAAGAGTACGAAGAGTGATGATTACAATATCTGTTAAGACATTTAGGGTCGGTGAAGCATCGAAAAAAAAAGAAGACAACAGCAGCGGACAAAAGCTGTAGCTATATTGGTTCAGTTCATTATAGCTCTAGCGCAGGGACACGTGCAATCGGTGAAGCATGGTGTAAAGAAAGACGAGAAGGTTGTGTGTGATATGCGCCTTCTTTTGTCAATGTTAGCGAACCATGTTAACCTGTAGACAAAATAATAAAGTAGGATTTGTCAGATGCCATGCATTGTGGATCGGTTTTATGCGTTGCAGTCAGCCTTGCCAGCCATGCCGAATACAGCGATGTTTCAGGGGTGCCTTATGGTCTGACATAGTGTCCAGAAGAACTGCCATCTTTATTGAAACGAAGCGCACGCTGGTGCGATGCTGTGAACATCGTATACGTCATTCGCCGGAGTGGTTTCTCCGGTGTCGAGGAGTGCCTGATCATAGCTTGTTGAGTCATAGAAGCGCATATGCAATGTTTATTCGACGGTTATCAAAGCGCAGCCAACACATACGACAACCGATATTGGTATTTAGCCGACATGACGCCTGCATCGCAGCATTAGGTGTACATAAGGAATCTTTATTTCCTTGCCGCAAAGTTTTAAAGGCAGCACTGCAAACACAACTCACATTAGTTGCACCGGCAATTTCTTGCTCATTTGAGTCTTCAAAAAAGAAAAACATTAGAGACCTGGCTTGGCTGTCTTAAATAATAATTGATTGCCACTAAGAACGCCTGCCGGTTTGGATCCGTCTGATATCCTGATTTCTATTCATTGCGTACGTTGGGGAGTACTCACGGCTGATGCCACATTTTCTTGACGCGCACCCGTTTAAGTTACAAATGTCTATTGCCGCTTATGGGTAGATGTAAACTTTGTATTACATGTGGCTCATTCACACATTCTGAGGCCCATGCATGTCCCACCCGGGGATGTAGGAAAGGATTTTATGACGTACGCGCCAAAATTTTCGCTTTCACGTCCAGATAGTCATTTTCATCTTACTCTCGCAACCACCTCTGTTAACTTAGAGAGGCGACCTTGATAGTGAATCGTGCCACAACGTACATTGACCGAAACAAGATTCAGCAGGACAAATGATAATCTGCTTCGTTACTGCTTGATCATTCAAAAGAATGTACAATCATCATGCCCATATACGAAATATAACGGCCATGGGAAACTGCGTCTTTTCGCTTCTACTGTGCTTTGCACGCATCCCTTCAATAGGAATGTACAGTAATATTGACTACAAACACTTGGGGCCCCTGTGGTTGCCTTCGCAGGAGCTTGGAACAGCAGTATTTGCTCTTTAAATGAGTTGACGAAGAGCATGCTCATGGCAGTGGAGTGCGTTCTTCTTGAGGAGGAGACGCAGATACGAGGAATTGTGGCTGTCGATGACCTTGCCGGATTAGGAATGCACCACATTATCCATATGACACCGCGGCTTCTTTAGGGTGGCCATCGCGATCGCTCAGGTAGGTTTAATGACGTAGTGGATACCTTAACTACAAATGAGCTTCTATCATGTATTATAACTGCAGTTCGGTCACACTCGTACACGGTCAACAAGTACTACGAAAATCCTACACTGTACTCCTGACTGAAGCTGTGTTTGAATTCTCATATAAATATATTGAAAGGCGAATGATCGATCAACTTTCCTCAACAGTGAACTGAGAGAAGGCCATCAAACATCTTGACAATAGCTAATAGCGGTTCGCGTGTTCTTATCGAAAGATTCGAACTCGCAGTCCAAGCACGTCACCGATGTTCTATTGATGCATGTACCAGTTTGTAGCAGTACAGTACGATTCGTTCAAGCCCCGCCACGGTGGTCTAGTGGCTAAGGTACTCGGCTGCTGACCTGCACGTCGCGGGCTAAAGTCCTGGCTGCGGCGGCTGCATTTCCGATGGAGGCGGAAATGTTGTAGGCCCATGTGCTCAGACTTTGGTGTGCGTTAAAGAACTCCAGGTGGTCAAAATTTCCGGAGCCCTCCAATACGGCGTCTCTCATAATCA